CTGCAGTTCACATCCGACTCAGGCAGGCATCTTCCATAGTCAAACCTTGAATGAACACTCTCGGCCTCAGTCCCTTCCTCCTATGATGCATACACACTCTTCACTCATGAGGATCTACTCTGAATACTACTCATAGCTAAAATACTAACCCTCTACTACTAATGCTAACTCGCTGGGCAGCTATGGCTGCATCTCTTCCAGCGTACAGGCTTCTTCCCCTACTCAGCGCATCTCCTTCCTCCAGCGCTGCTCCTCCTGACTCAGCGCACAAGTGCACCAGCACTTCCACGCAGAAATGGCCAGTGGAGATCTGGCGAGTAATGAGGCTGGCAGCTTCTTTTATAGTGCTGGCCACTCCTCGTTGGGTCTGCGTTGGCTCAGTTTAGCCTTTCCTTTGTCCCAGACCCAGCATTGCATGTGTCCCAGTATAGTCCCAATGAGGTTCAACTGCTGTTGAGGCCTCTCGGCCTAGATTTGGACTTCAAAGTCCGGATCTGGACTGTCCCCTTGACCTAGATCAGAACTGGGACTGTACCTATTGACTTTACTTTCGGACAGGCACAACTCTAGACGAACAGACACATTTACTGCCCGAACAGACACTTTCCTTTGCACGAACAGGTACACTGTCTGCACGTACAGACACACCCTTACTCAAACAGACATGACATGCACATCTTCTGGTGAACAGGTAAGTCCTTTGACAATGCTTTTTGCTTTAGATTTGGATGTGCCCGTTGGTAGAGAACTTGACCTTTGACCTGCTTTCACGTTTCTGAGCCCTGGCGAGATACCCTTTCGGGCTGCTTTACTTTTACAAGGCCCATGTGGCTTTACTTTTACAAGGCCTGAGGCCTACATCGGGTAAAGGCCCTTTTATCCTCCTCTTTTTCCCATATTTCCATTTACAGCATCATGCATTGGCTGCCTCCCATGGATTGGCTGCCTCCTCCTCCTCTTCAGGTCGTTGGTTGATGGGGGCCCCTCCTGCTGGTCCTTGTTTTCCTCCTCATCTTCTTTCATCCTTGGTCAGTACGGTCGATGTCATTCTCAGACGATGCTAGCCATCAGATCGCTTCTTGTGGGAGAGAGTGAGAGGATCCTTAATCATCACTGTAGCAGGTGTCAAAAGATGACCTCATTGCCACTATTTTGGGTCGCTTTAGCATATGATTTTGGTATACTTTTACAAATTTCCTAACCTATGAGCCTAGTATGAGGGTGTGGGAAAATTTATACTGTGGGAAAATTCTACAGTGAAGGATGACTAAGTTCAAAGAGATTTATTTGCAACTTTCCTACGCCTAAAGTACCAGACCATTAAACTGTGGCAGTATGCATAGGTCTAAGGGGCAAGTCCCGCTGAGCTTTGTCTATTTCTAGGATTTCACGCCATCCAGACTTGATACTTGTCGTCTCAAAGGTTATATTTTTAAACAAAGACCCAAACATAGTCCTGTGGGCCGTGCTCCTAAGTGTACCAGTGCTGAGCCCAAGTTGCAGCTGCAATTCTATTTCCTATTTGGACCTTCAGGGCAGCATTCCTGTTGCCAACAGCACTGCCTGAAGGGCAACCTGCAGTCCAGTCCACACAGTAGCTATACTGCCAGTTCCCTGTACTACATGCAAGCAACACTTGCTAATAGGAGGGAGACCACCTCTGAGGCCAGTGATTACCATATCTTCAGGGGGGAAATCCACCAGGCTGCTAGAATTGTGCTCGGGTCATGCTGAGGCTGTATTGTTTGCAGTGCTGCTGCAACAAGGCATCTGGCCTTCTCCTCAACCTTTGTCTTTGGTCATAAGCCACCATCACTACTACTTCCCTCTTCCTCTTTTTAATTCCTTCGTCTTGTTCTCTTCTTCCCATTCTTCTTCTTCTTCTTCTTCTTCTTCTTCTTCTTCTTCTTCTTCTTCTTCTTCTTTCCTTCTCCTCCCTCTCCTCGTCGTTCGAGAATTCATGGCAGTGCGAATTTGCCAGGGAAATTGGAGTGCCAAGAGGTCCCCTGCCAAGTTTGCCCAACTGTGACGAGCGCGAGGCTGAGGGAGAGCCAAGGGAGAGGAGAGAGAGAGGGAGAGAGTGAGAGCACACACACACACTCACTCACTCGACACGACTGAGGATCTGACACAGACACAGTGGCAAGGGCACAAAGTCGAAGTCTTGGATTCCGAATGCCGAAACAACAAGTCACACTGAGTACGAGTACAGTAGCTGAAAACTGGTACGAGACTGGTCCCCGTACTGTACGGGGAGCTGGTATAAGTACCGGTGATACGTACGGTACCAGGGGCATTTCCGCAAAAGCCTCCGAGGGCAGAACTGAAAAATGCGGTGTTTGAAAGTGGCGCCCGAATTGCAGCATGGCGCCAGTTGTCCAAAATCCGACGGTACCAAAGGAGGGGTTTGGAAAAAAGGGTGCCAGTACGAAAACGGAATGCAGCAGAAACAGCAAAAAGATAGACCAGGATCGAGCCCTGGCGGAGTCCGTAACATTATCCCCTCCCTCTGAAAGGCAACGTCCCGGCTGCCAAAAAGCCAAGGAAACAAAAAGGTTGTGAAGGACGGGACGGGGCGGATCACTGGTCGGAGAAGGAGAAGGGGAGTGATGCAAGTCACAGGGTATTCTGGCTGGTGTTCTGCACAGGTGAAGGTATGATGTGACTGGGTGGGTCTATAGGGAGCAATGTTCAGGGAACAGGGGATTTCTATTGATATCCTACTGGGTAGGGGAAACGATGTTCAGGAAAACAGGGAATATCTATTGATGTTCTAGTCGGTAAGGGAAACAATGGTCAGGGGAACGGGGAATTTCTACTGATGTTCTAGTGGGTAAGGGGAAAAATGGTCAGGGAAACAGGAATCTGCTAATGATGTTCTACAGGCTTGTCAAAGTCAGGAAAATAAAAATAAAAATGAAAATGTTTGTTCAGGAGGCAAGGGCTGGTGTGTCCGAAGGAGTGGGAAGCAGAATCTCATGTAGGAACAAAGTGTCCAAGTGTCTTAAAAGGGGATCTGCAGCAGCCTTGATCAGGTCTTGGAGTAGGTGGTCGAAGCGATCTTCAGCGGCTGCGACAGGTAGAAGTCCAAGAAGTGTAACAGTAGTTCAAATGTCCAAAGTCCAAGTGCTAGGGTGCGTCCGGTACACGAACTGCAATGAGGTCTGATCTGGAAGCAAGGAAGTCGCAGACTGATGCAAAGATCCATGTCACAAGTTGCTGCTCCTGCAAGTCCGCGAGTCGGGATGCCGGCCGATGAAACAGCATGGTGGCCAAACCAGCTGCATAATCTCCATGAACAGTGAGGCAGCAGGCCATCGTCCTCGTGCGCTTGCCATTAGATCCTTTAACGTCGGCGTCACGCAGGTTCATAAACATTGGACAAGAGAGACAAGGTAGTGGAGAGGACAGATGGGAAGGCAAGGGCAGATCAGACATCAGGAATCGGGGTCGAGGGGAGGGTGGACTGGGTTCAAGGGTGTGTGTAGAACGGGGTTGCGAGGTTGTAGCAAGGTTTATACAGGGGTTTAGGGTTGTAGTTACGTGGGTGTCTAGGACATAGGAGTAGCACGATCATAGGCGCGGACAATTTTCATGGCATTCTTGAGACTCGAGAGAGGTTACCATGTAGATTCTTCGTCGGGGTATCCGGTCCAGTTGACTTTGCATTCAGTGACTGGTTCCGGGTGGTCAGATACCTGAGTAGTTCGTCGACCTATGATTGCTTCAACAACGAATTCAGGGTCTGTGGGTAACATGATAGGTGGAGGTCTAGGATATGGGCGGTCAGCGAAGTGGGGTGGGGATTCATGATATTCTTTCAAGTATTCGACGTGGAAGACCGGGTGGACGCGGCTCATGTCGGGGGGGAGTTGGAGTTTGTACTTGACGTCGAAGGTTTTTTCAATGATGGGGAAGGGTCCGAGCCATTTGTTCGAGAGTTTCTTTGACAATCCATGTTCGGGTTTAAAGCATTTGGCGGAGAGCCAGACTTTGTCCCCTACTTTGAATTGCAAGTCTCGTCTGTGTTTGTTGGTCTTGTTTGCTTGTTGTTCTTGTGTTCTTCGAGGGCTTCGGTTGCTTCTCTGAGGAGTCGATTCATTGTTGCTACCCATGCATTGAGGGAAGGGCAGGGTGTGGAGGGGTTGAGTTGCGAGGGAAGCAGGAAATCAGAGGGCAAGCGCAGATGGTAGCCACGGTCAAGGTAGAATGGAGACATGCCAGTGGAAGGACAGGCATCGTTGTTGTTGGCGATCTCGGCGGCGGTGAGCAACCGATCCCAGTCGTGTTGATGTGGATGACAGTACTTCCGTACGATTCTTTGGAGAATATTGTTCATCTTCTTCTCGGTTTGTCCATCGGCCTGTGAGTGGAATGCAGTGCTATACTTAGAGTGCAGTTTCGTAGGCATTGAAGAGTTGTTTCCAGAATTGTGAGATGAAACGGGGATCACGGTCGTTGATGATATTCTCAGGAAGGCCGTGGTGGCGTGCAACATGGTCGAAGAAGAGTAAGGGGATGTCTTTGGCGGTGTGCGAGGTGGTGCAACGAATGAAGTGGGCGCGTTTGGTCAGGCGGCCGACAATGACGTAGATGCAATCATGCCCATAGTCGGTCTTAGGGAGACCGCACACGAAGTCCATGGAAATGGACTGCCACCGGTGAGTGGGGATGGGCAATGATTGGAGCTTGCCGGGTTCGGCCCGGTTCGAGGGATTGACAGTCTGACACGTGGGACATGAACGAATGTATGTTTTGACGTCGGCGAGTAGAGACGGCCAATAGAAGTAGTGGGAGATGGTGTCGAAGGTTTTCTGGAAATCGAGGTGACCTGCGGTCTTGGCGTCGTGGTGCTCGACCAAGAGCTGGGTACGGAGACCACGTGTGTCAGGGATGCACAATCGGCGAGTGCCTTTGTTGTCGATGTAGAGGAGGTTGTCGTGGAGGGAGTAGTCCGGGACTGGGTCAAGATCGCGGAGCTTGTTGTAAATGGTGGCGAAGTCTGGGCAAGAGAGGTAGCCTTGGGTGTATCGGTGATGGAGTGATGGGAGGAGCTGGATATGGGTCATGGCGACGTAGACTTTCTCGGGGGGCTTGTGGCCGGGTCGTTGAGAGAGGGCATCAGCAACGTGGTTGCTTTTGTCGGGGGTATGGCAAATGGTGAATATGAACTGGGCAAGGAAGTCGAGCCATCGAGCTTGGCGTGGGGTGATGTCTTTCTTGGTGAGGATGGAAGAAACGATGGTGTTGTCAGTGCGGATGGTGAAGTATTGTCTGTCGAGGTACGAGCGCCAGACTGTGAGGGCATGAATCACGGTGAGGAGTTCCTTCTCGTTGGAGGGGTAATTCATCTCCGCGGGAAGGAGCTTCTTGCTTGCGAAGGCGATGGGATATCCGTCGGGTGGAGCCTCGGGGTGAGTGCGCGAGTCCTTGATGGAGGGGGTCTCGGCGGTGTCACGGGGGAAATGTTGGCCCTTCAATTGGAACGATCGCCTCCAACACGCTTTCGACTTCCTCAAGCAAACCATCACCACGGCCCCTTTCCTCAAGATCGCCAACCCCACTCGCCATTTCTATGTCACCATTGATGCCTCCGACTTCGCCATTGAGTTTGTGGAGAGGGTAAGAGATCTCGGAAAAGTTGCGAATGAACGGGCGGTGATAGTTGGCAAGGCCGAGGAAGGAACGGAGTTGGAGGAGGGTCTTGGGCGGGGGGTACTCGACGAGGGCTGTGACATTCGAGGGGTCCATACGGATGCCTTCAGCGGAGACAATGTGGCCAAGGTATTCGACGCTCGAAGCGGCAAACGTACATTTGTTGTGCTTGGCGTAGAATTTTTGCTCTCGGAGGATCGAGAGGACTTGGCGAATGTGCTGAAGGTGGGACTCGAAGGTGGGGCTAAAGATGAGGATGTCATCAAGGTACACCGCAACACAGACTTCGAGGAGGTCACGAAAGATGTAGTTCATGATGTACTGGAATGTGGCGGGGGCATTGGTGAGTCCGAAAGGCATTACGAGGAACTCGTAGTGCCCAAACCGAGAGCGGAATGCGATCTTGTGGGTGTCCTCCTCGCGGATATGGATCTGGTGGAAGCCACTGCAGAGGTTGATCTTGGTGAAATATTTGGCTCCACGGAGGCGATCAAGGATCCGGGGGAGTGGGTACTTGTTCTTGATCGTGATCTGGTTCAAGGCACGGTAGTCTGTGCACATGAGGAGTTCCGAGGTGTCGTTCTTCTTGACGAAGAGTCAATTGGTTCCGAAGGGGGAGGAGCTAGGCTTAATGAATCCTTTTCCAAGGAGTTCATTGAGTTGGCGCTTCATTTCTTCAGCCTCGGGGACAGAGAGTTGGTACGGAGGGCGGGCTCGAGATCAATGATGTGGGATACACCTCGATCGGGAGGTAAACCAGCGGGCAAGGACTCGGGGAAGACGTCCTTGAATTCAGAGAGGAGAGCGGTGATGTGAGGATCGGAAGGGGGATCTTGGTCGGGTTTGTCCATTGGAAGCAAGTCCTCGGGACGCTCATGGTCGATAACAAGACAATAGTAAGCGGAGTCGGGGTGTTCACGAGATACGTGAAGGAACTGGTGAGGGGAGACAGGGGGTGGGGTAGAAGGGGGGAGAAGGTAAGGGATATCAAGAGGAGAGTCAGGAGGGCGGGTGAGTCGGACAAAGGAGGGGTAGAAGGAGTAGGGCATGAAACGGTCAAGCCATGGAGTCCCCAAGACGATGTCGCACATGAGGTGCATGACATCGAAGGAGACATGACTGTGAAGAGGACCGACGGTCATGAGGGTCTCGGGGACAGTGATGGCAAAGTCCTTATCCCCTAGTCGGATGGTGATCGGCGAGTCATAGCCGGTGGAAGAGAGGCCGGCTTTGCGGACACAGGCTTCGGTGATGAAGTTGCCGGTGGCACCAATATCAAGGAGGACCCAGAACTTCATCGTCGATGCGCCAAGGGAGACGGCGATAAACTTGAGTTGGAACTGTGCGGTTCCGGCACAAGCAGAAGAGATCATGGTGTTGAGGCGCTGTTGTTCCAAGCCTAATCTAACAAGCCGTTCGTGTCGTGCTTGTTCCTCAACGATGGTGTTGAGGCGGTGTTGTTCCAAGCCTAATCTAACAAGCCGTTCGTGTCGTGCTTGTTCCTCAACGAGATCGGAGAAGGTGGTAGAGAAGGGGTTAGGGATGAGAGTAGGTGTCAGTGGGAAGCTCAACCGACAGGATAGCAGACGTCGTCGAGAGGGGGCCAGGCGGAGTAGACTGCGTCGCTTGGGGGTCGTCTGATGGGCTGTGCGTCACCGGAGGGGGGGTAGGCAGACGGATAGTCGATGCCAAGTGGGCCACCGGTGGAGGAGAGATCATCACCGATGGGAGAGCCGATAGACAAGTGGTCGATGCCAGGGGAGGATTGCAAGAGATAGGGGGACAGTGTTCCGGTGGAGGAGGGCCCGGCTGTCGCGGTGGAGGAAGAAGTGGGAGTAGAAGGGCCGGGTCCCGCGGAGCGAGGGGCCTGTTGAGTAAAGCGGCTAGCGTTGGGGCAGTTGGCCTGCTGGTGACCTAACTGGTGGCAGCGAAAACACCTGTTGTGTTCCTGGAGGTATATGCGTTACGCGGGTGTAAGTTTCTGGAGACGGCGGGGTGGAGAGGAAGAAGGCGGTCGGGAGGCACGATCCTGGCGTTCCATCCGTATAAGGTGGGCGACATGGAGGTCCTCAATGGTGAATTGGGAGGGGTCGAGAGAGGCAGTGTCTAAGTTGTCATCGGAGGTGGGTGAAGTGGTGATGTCAGGGGTGATGTTATGGAAGAAGCGGGGGCGGGAGGGAGCGGGCGCGGACTGGTGATGGGGGTGGAGGAGTCGATCGTGGTGAAGCATGCAAGAGAGGAGGTCAGCAAGGGGCATGTCAGGTTCGTGGGCGAGGGCGGTTGCAAAATCTTTGTGGCATACTCGCTTGAGAGATGAACGCAAAGTCGGGAATGACGGTGGTGCAGAGGTGATGGCGGAGGGAGCGGATGTATTCGACGAAGTGATCCGTGGGACCGGTCTGGCGGAGGTGACAGAATTGTTCGAGGTAGTCATCGATGGTTTTCTGGGGGCGGAAAGTGGCAGTGAGAAGGTTGGCCCATTGGAGGAAGGAGTGACGCGGTCCTCCGGAGGTGCGACGGTTGCTGACTTCGGCCATCCACCATTTGGTGGCATTGTCGAGGAGGCGGGAGGTGGCAATGGGAAGCCAGTGGACAAGGGGCATGTGGTGGAGCTTGAAAGAGTTCTGGAGCTGGGTAAGGAAGAGGAAAACGTCCTCGTGGGGAAGGTCGGAGAAGGGCATGATGTCGGCGGATCAGAAGGAACGGGGGATTTTCCCTTCGCGGGAAACGATCCGGGCGAGGGTGTTGAAGTTGAGGTTATTGAGGGTAGTATCGTAGAAGGTGTAATCGAATTGGCTGTTGTCATCAATGAGGTAGTTGGGGGGAAGTTGTGGCATTGCGGGGTAAACCCCGAAGGTGACTTGGGAACACGTGGGACGGGGGGTGGGGGTGGTGGAGGTCGTCATGATGGGTTGTGAGATAGTATGGGAGTACGGGGGGGGAAGAGGGGTGACGTGGTTAGGCGAGGAATGAGGCGGTGTGCTGGAAGCGTCGGATGAGGGGGGGGGAAGGGTGGAGGAGGCAGGGGTGGTGGATGTGGTGGTAGAGTTAGTAGGAGTGGAGGAGGTCGGCGGGAGGGTGTGGCTGGAGGCGGCTATGGACGTGGGGGTGGGGGTGGTGACCACCTGGATGGAGGGGGTAGTGGTTTGGGACTCGAGGGCAGTCAACTGGGTTGAGATGGCAGCGACGGAAGTGGAGAGTGTCCGGAGGAAGTCCTGTACGGACCGAAGGATGGAGAGGAGGGATGGGTCGGGGGTGTTCTCCCCGATGGCTTGTTGGCCAACGAGTTCGCGGTGGATATCCGCCACGGAGTCGTCGCGGAGAGAGCTCATGTTGAGGCTTGAAGCACCTTCAACCATTAGAGAGGACGAAGGCGAGGTGGCGGAGGAAGATGGAGCAGTGGAGGTGGTAGTAGTGGATGTGATAGCGGCAGCGGTGGCGGCAGCAGCGGCAACGGCGTCGGCGGCGGCGCGTTGGGAGGTCTTGGTTTGGCGTGGTGGCATGTGGAGAAGGGGGGGACAATTCCTATTTACAAGAGTAGAGCGTCAACAAGCGATTTAGCAATGAAGGTAGCAAAGAATCGCAGAGCAAGAATTAATTAATTTGAATTTATTTGAAATTAATTCGAGAATATATTTTTTAATAAAATACGAAAGCGAAATTTTAAGAATTTCCAAATGAAAATAAATAAGTAATTCCGAGGGGGAAAAAAAACATTAATTCAGTCGTGAATTCATTCGAATGAAAAGATTTTTGAATTACAAAAATTCCGAAGAATAATTAGTCAGAATTATTTTTGAAGTTCGTATTTTCAAAAAAAAAATTGAAAACGAGTTAATTAGAATTTAGAAATATTGTCGAAAAAGGAAATGTCGAAAAATAATTTAATTAATTATGAATTATTTCAAATTACAAAAATTTTGAGAAACAATTGATTACGAAGAAATGCGTAATTTCAAAATTTTCGAAAAATAATTAATTAGAAATGATTTTGAATAGGAAATGTTGAAAAAGAAATGTTGAAAAAGATTTTAATTAATACTAAAATAGTTTTGAATTACAAAATTTCGAAAAAAAAAATCAAATTTGTTTTCGAATTTCGAAGAAGAAATGCCAAGAAAGAAATGATTAATCCTATGTATTTTCAAAAATTTCGAAAAAGAAAATACGTTTGAGAAACAAATATTGAGAAAGATAGTTGATTGAGTATTTTCGAATTTACAAAAAAAAATCAAAATGGGTTCTAGAAATAAATAAAATGAATTTTGATGTAAATCGGGGGCGGAGCGATCCTATCTACTATTGATTGGGTGGTAGCGTGGTATGTAGGGCACGGGTACATTTGATGATGATGATG